AATAAAATACCATTCAACCTTTACGAAACGACCAGAGGGGCAAGTGTTGTGCTGTTACAGGTTAAACACCACTCAGGATGCCGGCATCCCTTATTGGAATGTCACTTGGAGTCCCCACTAATGTACTTAAACCAACTTCCTAATAGAGTATCCTAGGGGAGGCAGCAAATGAGATGGCTCACTTGTCTGATCCCTGCCATCCTTGTGGGGTACCCAGATGGGTTCAGGGTTCTTGGCCTCAGGCCAGCTCAACCTTGGCTGCTGCAGGCGTTTGGGGAGTGATGGGAAACAGTGCCCCCAATCACTCATTCTCTCATTGGCTCACTCTCTCCCTCACTCACTCTCCTTTCCTCTCTCCCTTTCTTTCACCCTTCAAGTAATGGAAATGAAATAAACATTTAAAAAGTCGAACAATTTTGTCATTCGCAACACAAATAAATACACATGAAGACATTATGTTGACTGAAATAAACCAAACACAGAGGTGCAAAAATATGATATGATCTCATTACATGGGGAATGTGTTAAAGTGAAACTTAGCACAGTGCAATAAATTACCATGAAGTACACTGATTGATATTACAAGAAATAAATAGTGGAATTATGGGAAAATAGTAGAGTCCTTGGCTGACAGGTCTAGAGTTAGAGTGTTAATAAGGGAAGAATAAATTCTTGGGGCTGCATTGCACAGCTTTTGACCAAATGTATTGGATATTTCCTTAGAGCTAAGAGAGCATTTTGAAATGTTCTCACAACAAAAGCAATTGTACATACTTGAGATGGCAAATGTGGTAATCAATTTGATTTGATTATTCTATAATATATAGATATAACTTACATCACACTGAACTCCAAACATGTCTACAATTACTGCTTGTCCAAAAAAAAAAAAAATAGACCTTCAGACACAATGACAAGGAAAGGAGAGTGATTAACTTCACCTTGATCACAACAGAGTGAAGGAAACAAATGAGACATGGTGGCTGGAAGCAAATCGAGGTTTCCAGACCTCATAAAACTGAACAATTAAGAATAATCAGAGTCAGAATAAAAGGGGCACCTGCCATATGCCTGGCACCGTTCAAAGTGCTTCACAAAGATATATGTGCCTAATCCTTAAAACAACACATGTGTAAAACTGGGACCATTATCATCTGCCTTTATAGATCAGTAGACTGAGGCACAAAGTGTAAACACTGTATTTAAGGAGACACAGCGGTTACCTTCCATCTGCATGCATTCAAACAGCACCACCTGTCTTTCACAGCAGCTTTAAAGTTTTCCACACAGTGGCTTATCTGGTAACTGCTACCTCTTCAAGAAATCCATATCTCTTAGAAAAATACTTAAAGTATTCATAACCTGAAATATGGTCAAATTAGCTTAAAATGTTACCAGCATCTCAAAATAAATTTGATTTTACATGTTCTTATACTTCATGAATTTTAGATCATAATATGATCCAAAACCAATTAAATTCTACTATTATAACATCAGTAATGTGCCATCTTGGGAATATTAGTAAATAAAGTAGACTATGTAGGTAGGTAGCCAGGTACATGCATTTTAATCACTTCAAATATTTTAATTATCTTCTGCTAATGACATAGCAATTAAGATTTAAATACGTTGTAGAGGATATGACTGCTAGCTTCCTCTTGGGTCACATCCCTGAGTATCATTAACATCTAATTAGAGGGAGTAGGTCTAGACTCTAATTCACAAAGAACTCTACTGTCAGTGAGTAAGGTCTGAGACGTCCTGTGGGATGCTTCCCTCGGACACACCTCCTTCGTTGGTTGCCTGTCACCATCTTCTGATGAGCACTAAGGAATGGGACAGCATGATGATTTCTTCTAAAAGAGCTGACGGTACGCATCAAGCACTATTGTTGGAGTCCACCCCACTCCCAGCCTTCTTTGGTTCAGAACCCTAGGTGAGAATGTCAGGATGTACAGCCACCAAGCAGGTAGAAAGAAGTATTTCAGAAGGTCCCACGTGTAATGGATGGCCACACTCTTTAACAGAAGGCCCAGACTCTACAGGCAGAGTAGATTTTGCAGCCCCTGAAACTTTATTTGATCCTGAGACTTGGCTTAAACAAGAGAATACAGACATGAAACATTGGAACCTCCAAGGCTAGATCTTTAAAATTGGAATTTGTAATTTAACCCCTTTCATACTCTTGGAGTTAGCTACCCTAGTTGCGGAAGTACAAATCACAGCATAGGACAACTGAGGCAACAAATGGTAGAACAAGTGGAGCATACAGTTAACATCAAGCACCAAGAACAAGTCAAACAAGCAAGCCAGCAAAGGCCGGTCAAACCTTAGAGCAATTACAGCTTTAGACATCACCATATGCAGAGAAGCAACTCCTGACCTCAGGCACACACAGACACTTGAGAGACAATAATGATAAACAATGTTGAAAATGCTAAATACCAAGCTGTTCTTCACATAGCAGTAACCATCTTAAGAGTCCGAGGATGAAACCAGTTCTTCTGGGCCTCAGTTTACATACACGATGAGTCATGACAAATCCAGAAACATCAAGATGGCTGGGGTGGGAAGAAGAACTCCTTCCAATATGGCAGCTAAGACCAGGAAACCAGCAGCTAGATGGAGGCCATCTGAATCCTGCTTTTACCTGCTAGAAGTTTTCAAAGTCCTGTATTTCGATTTCACAGCTTTGCTATAGATTCAATACTAGTAATCACACATGCAAACAGTGTTGAATAAATGCTTCCTAACTATTTATGATTCTGTTTCACATCCAAGGAACCAAGGACCTACCTGTCCCTAGCTGTGAAGTGGTGCTATACTAGGACAGAGAGATGTGGAAAATAAAAGAGATGGATATAAACATGCTTGCAATTTGACCCTGCACCATTGATCCCTACCAAATGCAGGAGGGCATGCAGGTGATCAGTGCTAGCCCTCACTGGTCTGACTCCAACAAGAGAGAGAACAGAACCGCTACTTGACTTGTAGGTCATCCCTAACAGAAATGCCGGGCAAATGGCCAAACTTTCATCTGAGCACAAGCTGCTGCTGTGTATGAGAGTCAGCATGTCCAGAACTTTCTCACTGATCTTGTTTCAATAAGAGTATCAAAATTTACATGTATCTGATGGAGTCCTGAAAAGTTACTTGGTATCTTGCATGATCAAAGGCATCATCATTTCATTCATGTCATATTGATTTCCAAATGCTATTTCCATTTTTTCTGTTGCAAAAATCCATTCAGGTTATGGAAAATGCCAGTATTTATGTATGCCATAATAAAAGTTATCCCAAATGCAATGATATTACTGAGTTATTTTTCTTAGTTTTTTGTTGTTGTTTTTCTCTTTTGCAGGGAGGAAGGTCATAATGGTAGTGGGCTTGCTTTTACTAACAAAATTACTAATTTTTTTAAAAAGCAAAATTCTATAGTAATCAATCATTTTTTGTGATGAGAAGTGCGGCCACTTGGGAAGTGAGCCAGCAGATGGAAGATCTTTCTCTGCCTCTCCTTCTCTGTGTAAATCTGACTTCCCAATAAAAATGAATAAATAAGAGACTGATAGAATTATGATTCTTTATGAAGGACTACAGTATTGTAACAAAATGGGAAAAATCTGATGGGGGTGGGAATTTGGGGGGGAATCCCAGCCTACACAAAAATTTTCCACATAATTCAAAATTCAAAATAAAAAGATACTTTAAAAAATGAATAAATCTTTTTTTAAAAAAGCTATGATATGCCCATTAAGTGGAACTCAAGTAGTTCAATTAGCTAGAGTTTCTGAGAAAATGTGTCAGTTTTGTGCCTATCTTCTGCGTGATAACATCACTCACCCATATTAGTTTCGCTTCCTCTTTCTAAATCATTTATAAGCCTCAGGTCAGCTAGAGAAAATTCACATTTTCATTTCATGCTTGCTAATCATGCCTTAAATGGTGACTACCAGAAACGTAAATTAATTGCTAGCTATATGAAGGATGCACAAATTAAAAGCTATGAAATTTAAATTATTAACACAATAGTAATTCCGCTGTCTTCTGAAAACACAATTTCATCTATCATATTGCTCAATACAAATGAAATTTAGTAATTTATATACAAGAAACAGATTTTGTTAAGCCTTCTATTTCCAACTTCTCAAATTACTCTTTTCCTACATTTTTGTGCCTACTTAATTTCAACACCATCTTACTAGTCATTGTCATCTATATACTATTCAGCTTTTCTTTAAAATGTCGTTCTTAATAATTTGTATTTTACATCCTACCAATGTAGGCAAAGAACCAGAGTCCGTTCCACCAAAAATTTTCAAAGGGCTTGCTTTCTGGACTGTATGAAGGTTTGTATGTATTGTGTTATTATGTGTCCATACACAAAAAAAATCATAAGACATAATCTGAGTGGTACTACTAATGATAACTGCTGGGGATACTTTGTAGCCACTGTGCAACTGAATGCAGCAAAAAAGAAAAACAGCCAAAATTTTACTGTGGGAGACACAAAGTCTGCATGAAAAATGAGGTTTGCTTAAACAAAGGGTATTCAGACTAGGACGAACAGTTCCAACCAAAGTTTCCATACTATTTGATTTGCTTGACTCGCATCTGTTTTCCATAAACAAAGTCACTCAAAGTTTAACTGTTTAAATAAAATATCACTAAAATAAACTGTCTAACATTTCTAGCCAATAAAATTGATTTGTGGAGTACAAGACTTGCTATTACTTGCTCTTTTAGGACAAAGATGGGCATACCTTAACCAGTAGGTAGGAAGTTAATGAAGGAACATATTCAATTTTTTTAAAAAGCCTTGAGTTTCTCAGAATGTCATGGCTGTCTCAGAGCACAAACCTACAAATTCTAAATCCTGGTTCTACAGCAGTTAGTACAAAATATTTATAAGTAGCAGCGTAAGTTATATCCTAATAGTAACTAAGCTCAAGCGTACTCACGTTACAGAAACTTATTTCTCAGGAAAAATAAACGTTTACCTGGCAAGGCTGTTTCATTTTAATGGCTATGACATGGTATCTGTAACAGCAGAGTTCACAGGTCCACGACCCCCTCTCACTGATCCACTTCAGCAAACACAGCTGATGTGTGTAGCGGACTGACCCATCACATCGGCAAGGATTTAACAGCTCCCCCTAAAAAGAAAATGGCTCAGGATGAATATTTGTGTCTGTGTGCTTCTATTTTTATACCCTAATGCTTGCTTTCTTTTCTTTCAAAGCCATTTACCCAGCTCTCGTCTAGAAAGTAAAATTAAAATTTTATACCTCTGATGGGAATGAAACGAGAGTCTTAAAAACTATTTCAAAGCTATTGCTTAGAGTTATGACATAAATGTTCTACCAACATACAAAATGTCTGCAAGATATAGCTCCCAGTACCCTTGGGGGAAAGCTGTGCTATTAAATCTCTTTAATAACTTTTAAGTGGATGGTCAGATGCATTTCCTCTGCAGTTATTCTTAATCATCACAAAGGAAGAAACGCACAGCACCCCAGAAAGCGGGCGGCGATAGCACGCTTTTTGTTATTTTTTTTTCCTTTTCTAAATGTAGCAGCATAAATCCTGACTTAAGGCAGTACATTCCTGAAAGCCTGCATATTTGTATGAAATTTCCTTACTTTTAAAAATATTAAACCTAATGTGTTCACAGGCCACACATGTACAAGGGATGTGTTTCCCTTTCTTCTGCATTACTCTCAGAAGAGTTTGCATCGTCTAATGGTAGTGTGTTTTAGAACTGTGTTCTTAACAAAACACGAAGTACGCTGTTAACTAATCAGCCTTTATTTCAAGGTACATTCCTCTTCCTTCTGTAAGAACTGCAGCACAATTCTCACGTAAGATTAAGTCACGGAAATTTGCAACAGACTCTGCCCTTTCGATGGTGACATGATTCAACCCCCAGTTTATACACTAAGACTACATGGCATCCTACAGATTTTCTTCTATATAAAAACCAAAGCCCCGGAGCAATAGTTATCATTCAAGCACCTGAGGAACGTAAGACTGCATATCCCAGGTAGGGAAAACAGTGGACCACCTCTGGAAGGAACCTGCAGAAGCAGCTGTTCCTGTGGGAGGCGCGCGCTGTCCCTGGTGCTGAAAGGTCGTCTGGCCAGCGCAGCAGCCAAGCTGGAGCCGGAGCCCGCGGCTGGAATCCCACGGGCCTTACCTGTTCCGCGCCCTGGAAGCAGATCTTGCAGATGGGCTGGTGGTGCTGGTGCTGGTGCCCGGCGCGCTGGTCGCCACCGCTGCTGCTGCTGCGGCTGCTGCACACCGAGCGCGTCTCGGGCTGCTCCCCTGAGCCGGGCCGCTCGCCCTCCCCACCCGCGCCTGCCTGGGGTTCCTCGGGGCCGCCCTTCCCCGCCGCTGCCTCAGGGACCGCCGCCTCCGGGAAGAGCTTCGGACCTTCCCTGGAGTCCCCGGCAGCCGACACCTCCCTGCCGCCGGGTGTCAGAGGCGACGGCGGTGGCGGCAGCTCATCCGAGCCCCTGCGCCGCGGGGCCACCTCCCCTGGCGCTTCGTCCGGCCCAGCGGCAGCGCGCTCGGGGAGCGCGGGTGGCGAGGGCAGCCGCTGCTGGTAGCGTGGGGCCGCAGCCGCCTTACCGGGCAGGGGCGGGGGCGGCTCGGCGTCCCCGCTATCAGCCCCGCGACAGGGACTGTTCCCCTGACCGCCCTCCAAGCTCATGATGCCTCCGCCGCCACCCTCCTGTCTGCCCGGCTAGGTGGCCAGCCTTGGACTGCAGCCGGGGGAAAGTGGAGGGGGTGGGAAGGGAGGAGGGAGGGTGCGGCGGGGACACCGGAGAGCCCGGGCCGGGGGGCGGGACGGAGAGGGGACACGGAGGGCCGGGCGCCGGTGGCAGAGGCAGCTGCTCCGCGGAGCCGCCGGCTCGGCTCTGCTGGAGGCGGTGCCGAGTTCGGCTGCGCGCGGAGCCGCGCCGCGGAGGGGCCTGGGGACGTCGGGGGGCGGGAGCGAGGAGCGGCGCAGCGGCAGCGGCGGGTGGCGCGGAGGAGGGCGGAGGGGCTGGCGCGGGCGGGGGTGCCGCCTGTCCCGGCAGGGGGACCGTGGCAAGCCTGACGCGACACGACCCGGGGAGAAAGGCGCGGTGAGACCGGGTCGGAATCGAGGGAACCCCCCTTGCCGCTAGGCCGACCCCGCCCCGAGCTAGTCACGTCGGTTTCCCAGGCGGGTGACCTCTCTTCCAACGGTGCTGCGGTGCTGCTCCCGCGAGCCGGGCAGGGGCAGGGGCCGCAGGCCTCTGGAGCCAGAAACCGTTACAGGGTGAGCAGGACGCGGCGGTGGGGGCCGGGTGGGGTGGGCAAGAGTGCCAGGCCCGCGGGGAGGACAGGGGCGCACGGGAACTCTGCTCTGTAACCGCCCTGCTCGCGATCGCTGCGGTGCCCCTGACCCTCTTCTCCAAAGGCACGTTTTCTGATCCCAGGGGCAGTGGTTAAGAACCAAGTCTCTGGAGTAAGTGTCCTCCAGCGTTTGCCCTGCCCTCCTTCTCCAGCCGTGAGTAACCTGGGTCGTCGGTCAATGTCTGGGTGCCCAGGAGGTCGGAAAGTCATTTGCTGGAATGTGTCCTCTTGAGGTAGCCTGGGTCCCGCGTCCTGTATGGTTCGTGGTCACTGTCATCCTCGTGGTAGGACGGAAGCAAATAACGTCGTCTCTTGTCCAGAAAAAGCGGCTGCCATCCGGGTTCTGGACTTCATTCACCCTGAACCTGATTTCTCCAAAACTCCACCCTGCCAAACCTCTCTGGGAATGGCCATGGACAGGCCCAGGCCAAGCCTTCAGGGAGATAAAAACTGCTCTTCCGGCACGGAGGTGGCTGGAAATTCCTGACGTGCAGTGGATTCCCAGAGCAGACAGTGAGAAATGGTCCAGGCACTGGGTTTATATACTGCAACGTGTTCACACAAATAAAAGGGGATGGCCACTGATGTAATACTTAGCGTCTTTGATGTAACCCACTGGCTTTCTCGCGCCTCATATTTGGCTGCATTTCACAGCTGAAAACCCAGGATCAGCTAGGCAAAGCAATTTGTTCAAGGTCACTGGGCTGTTAGCAGAACCTATGAGCTCCTCCCTCCAGATATTCCAGCTCAAACACTGATTTTTTTCCCCCAATCCTTTCTTCCGTCTCCTAAAATAATACTGCATTAAATGCATTGAGTGTTGGTGGCACCTGCTTTCATTAACAAATGTTTTGAAATGGTTACGATAAAGTACCAGTTTAATTTTTCAATTACATATTTTGGTAGTAAAATGTGTGTCTCGTTTGAAAAAAAAGCTGAGCCTTTTTTTTTAACCTAATTGTTTTGGTTGGAGGACAGAGGATAAAGTCAGGAATGCTTTGTCACAACTGGCTTCAGATGAAAGAATTTCCAGGAATGTCCCCTGACACTTAGCCTCCCTAGATTAGAGTATTTTTGGTAGCAGAGTGGCAGGCAGCAAGCACATTTTAAAAATAATAAACTCTGAGTGCCCGGAGAATTTACCACATTGACAAGCAAGGGTTGTAGATATATTTTAGTTAGAGGTTGCCGCCTGTCAAAATGACATTGTACAAGCTTATGTGTTTCCACAGTCTTAAGACAATCTTAAGACTTGATCATACGTTCCTTAGCCAAATCATGTCTGAATTTGTACAGAATTCCTTAGGTCATTCAGTTTAGGATCAATCTGTGTCTATCAGGTGTGATAAAATGCCTTAGTGCCCAAGGGACAGCATAAAAGCTGTGGATTCTACTAAACGATGTCACAGAGTTCAGACAGCAAAGTGGCATGGATAAAGGAAGAAAATAACATGAGGCTAAATGTGTCCTCTTGGTTGGTGACAAGAGAAAACGAGGTTTCCTTGATACAATGAGGAAGCACATACAAACGGCCCTTCCGTGATCCGCAGGCCTCCCAAGCTCACAGGAATAAAGAGAACCTTGTTTGTGACCTTCAGGTAACCCAAAGAGGCTACAGCAAATCAAGGGGAAAAAACACCTGCTTTGGAACTTGAACCCTGTCATCAGTCATAAGAACATGGAATACGAGGAACACAGCAAGGATGATTCACTTACTGCTGCTGGGCCCCACATGGCAGGGACAATGGCGACACAGATATCAGATAAACGGGCAAAACACCAATTATGTGCACAACCAAACAAGTGAAAAAAGATGGTTGCCAGTTCTGTAGATAAATACGGAAAGGTACTCCAAAGCTGCTTCAAGCTACATAAATTATAAGAAAAAAAATACAAGCATTTGAAAAATCTCATTAGCATACCCCCCCCCCCCACACACACACACAGACACACAGAGCGAACAAGACATGGGCTGTTGTTACATTACTATCTTTAGATATCAGGAGTTCCTGAGTCCATGGGTATCCCCAGAAATTCCTGAGTGACATTAACATGTATTTATCAAATAATCTCCTTGATAAGACCTCCAGACAACAGGAGCTATCCTGGAGCGCTCTGGGGATTTACTTTCCCATTTATTCAAATTCAGCACTCAGGGACATTCCCCAAATTGGTACCTTTGGTTACATTGTTCAGTCTCTGCAGCCGCTCAGACTTCTCAGTTACTTTCAGATGAAATGAAACTAGGAAAGCTAAGTAGCTATTGAACAACAGTGTGTGTAGAGGAGGAGGATTGTTACAAGTATGGTGACATACAATCTGTGTTATTACCAGATTCAATTCACAGTGTAATTCCATTGCACAAGGGAAACAGTCACCGTATGCTGATGAGATGTTTTAACTCTTACTCTAACCCCCACTGAACTCCAGCACATGCATCAAATTATCCTATTCACAACCATTTCAAATGAAACAGATCCAGAAGCAAACAGCACCCACAAACCTTTCTCTTGTCTGCCTTATGCCAGTAAACTAGTTCACGTATTCGTACAAGCCAAAATCCTTGAAGTCTGCTTATTTTTCACATCATATATTCAGTACCTGAAAAATTCCTTGAAATGCACTTTAAAAGTAGACAACCAATTTCTCTGTTCTTCAACATCATCTCCATCATTTTAGTACATGCTAGCATTGTAGCAGGTACATCTGGTGTGTGAAGACTTTCCAAATACTTCTGAAAGGTCCTGCTTCTTATCATCCAACTCACCCCAAAAAGCAAACGTCCAATTCTACCCTAAGCTCAGTAATGTCAGTGTCTTGTTTAGTACTTATCAACAGACTTCCCTTCACACCTGGAGTATTATCAAAACACACATATACAATGCAGGTCCTCAAGCTAGCTCCTGGCTGACTGTCTGAGGACGTCGCCACACCTCTTCCCCTCCTCTCTGCATTCAAACCACACTGGCCTCCTTTTGCCTCAGTCGAAATTCCCTTGGCTCTCTAGGCTGGCTTGGAGGACATGCCTCCTTTAGGTTTCTGCTCCAAGGTACCCCATCCAAAACTTTGCATTTCCAACTGAAACAGAATCCTCTACTTTTATTAACCTCTAACCTTGATCCAGTTTTACTCTTTTCCACCTAATCTTTACTAGCCGTTTTATGTGAGTACTTCAAGAAGTTCATGGAAAATTGAACTGAAAGATATTTTTGTTTTGGTGTAAAAATGTTTTTGAAATTATGCATTTTTTAAAATCTACTTTCTCAAAACTTTTTAAAGATCTCTCATACGCATAGATTTCTATTTTTTACATCAAATAGGCTTTTATTTTCATTTTCCATGAGCTTTCTAAGGTACATATATATATATATATATATATCCCTCCATATGGTGTATATTTTGCATGCTTGTTTTCTCACCTCAAGTCCGCAGCTGGAGCTTTGACCATGAGAGAGCCTGTTTTGCTCACTGTTTAGTGTCTAGACAATATTTATGCAACAAATGTATGAATAATCCACTCCATCAAGCAGGTGATTATTCATCAGGCTCTGTGTTGAAGCCACCTGGGTAAGATGCAGTCCCCAGGTGGGAATACAACTTGTATAGCTATGTTCCTGTAGAACAAAATATCCCCTTCATTTCTTGACCAAGTAAATCAATTTTTTCCCATTCTTTTAGAAATTTGTAGTTGGTGCTTGATTAGCCAGTCGTTGACTTCCATGTACAATTAAGGTCAAAATCTCAAATGACCCTGATTTCATGTTTACCGAAGTCACTTGTCAGCAATTTGAAAATGCATCCCAGTGGTGTACCAGCCCAAGTGAAGGTAGATAGACCAATTTTCCTGTTCACCACGGGCTCTCCCATGAGTATAGACTACACAGTATCACAGTACGCAGTGTATGGTACATAACACATGCCCAATTCAACTCTCAAGTTTGGTAATTTCCTTTCTCTCAGTCTTTGTCGCTTTGCCTCCACTGTCCTTAGTCCCTGCTGGATCTTCTACACACAAGGGCCTCCAAACCTAAGCTGGTCAGAGAGTCCCCTCTCTATCCTTATTGGGGGTCTTGGTTCTCACCAACCTACAAGCATTTCTCCAAGAACCTGATGTCTCCTCTGACAGTTCCTGGATCCTCAATTCTCATCAGAAATATCACCAAAGGTTGCAATTTTGTACCAAAAACACTTTCTTCAACCTCCTTTGTGCCCCCCCCACCTGAAGTAATTTAAAAGGATTGATTAAAAAGGATTGTATTGTGTGTGTGTGTGTGTTTTAAATATAACCAAACATCATTTTCTGCCCTAGTCTCCACTGCCCTGAGCCTT